AAAAAACCCCAAAAACCAAAAAAAAAAAAAAAAAAAAAAAAAAAAAAAAAAAAAAAAAACAACAACAACAACAACAACAACCACTGACTGGCTAAAACGCCAGTAAAATGCGACCCCGGAGCGATCCGAACCTTGACCTGATTCGACAAACTCCCCATCCTTAGAACGCTCCCTCCACCATCCTGATTCCCCCAAACTGCCGTCCTACTGCGGACATGAAAGCAACCGAGTGTTCAGGTTGTGTGAGCATGTAGAAGCCATGGACCCAGGACCAGTTGCTCCTGTTTGTTGATCGCCGCTAACTGGTTCCTAAGACCCCATGTGGTCAAGAACCACTGATATCTCCTCTTACCCAGTTTCTTGTTTGTAACTCTCCGAGCCCAATCCACTACCACTGCTAACCTCAGTTGGCTCCGCACCTCTTTCTGCATCTGATCCTTCGAAGTGTTTTCGTTTTTAAAGATTTTTGCGTTCCTAGCCAGCCACAAAACCCTCAACAGGACTGCCCTTGCCACCTGTGCAACGTAACCCCAACCCTTTAGAAGACTGAGATTTGCTGGCACCCGGCCTGTCAAGATCCAATCGTCACTCCACTCCATAACATTGTTTGTTATTTTCTTCCATTGCTGTCTCCACCACAGCCAGAGATCTTGTGCCACAGCGGTAGGAACAATCCCACGGGAGACCATCCACATAAAACCCGCATGTTTACGTGATGGCAAAAACTGAATCTGCTCCCAAATGGCGTGTAGATGGCTAGGCTTCGAATTGTCTGAAATATTTAGAAGTTCCTGAAGCTTGCCCCAGATCTGTTCCTCCGACTCCCTCTCCGGATCAAGTATCCAGGAGGCCAAACGTGGCGTGTAGGATGCGGTTGCCAAGGTGACTTTTTTTGGGCCCAGCTTCTTCCATACTCTGTCCTGAGGGTCTATCCGTAGCTTCTTCAGCGGTTTACCTCCACACTGTAGCTCCAGCGGTTTGCCTGAACGCCATCTGGGCGGGATCTGCACTCTTACCTGATTCTCAAAGTCTTCCGGTATCCTTACCGAAGTGCCTTCGTAGCAGATCTGTCCCTGGTTCGCCAAGCATTTCTTCCATTCTTCCACTATCACCATATCTCCCCCGTTCACTACCACCTGGCCGTACTCCGGGGCTCTCTCTTCCTTCGTTGTCAACTGCTACCACATACGATTTACTGGGCCTTCTCGAGACAGGAGGTCAATCCACTCCTCTGGGAGTGCCGCCACCAAGTCCTCTTTCCTTGGACCTACTTGGACCAAACCTCCCAGCTTTTCTCTTAGCTCCTCCTCTGTGAACCATCTTCCCTCCTGTTCTTCCCACAGGTCGTTTACTGTCACCACTCCACGCTCAATCCACCTTCTCCCAAAATTCCCTTTGCCAGCCGTGGCTCGAAAAGGTTCTCCTGTCAGGTCCAGGATACTCTTATTATCAAAAAGGTTATGTCTGAGCACCACCGCTTTTGACTCCACTTTGACTTCTGGTGGCCTCAATCTACGCTACGCTCTGAGAATACTGGACCAGACTTGTGATGTAAAGCCTCTATGCAGGTATGAATCCATCTGTGTACAGACCCAGACATCTTCCTTTCGGATCAAGTCTCAGTCATACTGCAAGATATACTCAGCTAACCACACCCATGCTCTCTCCTCCTCTAGTACAGCAACCTTGATCATTCATTTGGCCAAGAGCGCTAAGTTATGGTTCGTTGGGTCTGTGATGTTCAAGCCCCCCAGTGCGGAGGAAGTAGTTACCTTCTTCCACGCCAATTTAGGCATGCATTTTCCTTCTTTTCTTTCTGGGCTCCACAGAAACTTGGCGCTGGCTTCAAGTAGCTTTGACAGTGTTGACCTGGATTAAAGTCTTATTGCGAATACAAACCAAAGCAGAGGAAAGACAACTACATTGAGAGTCATCGCTCTTCCTAGCAACGAGAGACTTCCTGATTGGCGACACCGTTCGATCTTAGCCTGAAATTTGCCCAGTAAAATGGCGTCCTGTGCCTGTTGGCAGTTGGAAAAGGAGACTTGAATACCCAAATATCGGTCCGAATTACTACTTTGAATCCTTTTCATGCCGAAGGTGGCTTGAAGCTCATAAGATTCTGGTAGGAAGAAAATGGATTTATCCCAGTTAATCTTAGCTTCCGACAATAAGCAGTATTGGTCTAATACCTCCTTCAGGGCAGACAAGGATGACTTTGTGTTTTGGCAAATTGCCAAGAGATTGTCTGCAATCGCACCGACTGTTAACTGTACCTGAGGACGGATTGTAAGGCCAACAATCTGCGGGGGTGTTCTTATTGCGTTCAAAACTACTTCCATTTGAACTACGAACAGCAGTGGAGCTAATGGGCAACCCTGCCTGAGAGATCGAGTCAGGCTAAATTCCTCAGATAGTACCCCATTGACCAGGACTGCGGCCGTGGACAGCGAATACATATTGGTTACCCAGCAGGTGAAATTTGGTTCAAAATTTATTAATTCCAAAGTCGCCTGCACAAAAACCCAGTTAACCCTGTCGTAGGTTTTTTCCAGATCTAGCATCATAATGGCTACCTCTCTCTCTTCCTTGCCAACCACTTCCAATGCCTCAATAGCCATCATTATGATAATGTTATCCATTATCGACCGACCCTTTACAAATGTCCCCTGGTCCGTGGCCACCAACTGCGGGAGAAAAGGAGCAAGTCGAATGGCCAATGCTTTTGCTAAAATTTTATAACTAACATTTAGCAGGGAAATCGGGCAGTAATTCCTTATATTTTTTGTATCTCCTTTCTTGTATAATAAGGAAATCATCCCTCTCGACATGTCAGTGGTAAGGCGTCCTCCTGTTAGAACTTTATTATAAATTTGAAGGAGGAGTGGTGCCATCTGCTGCCAAACCACTTCAAAGTATTCCACCGGAAAACCATCGTCACCGGGGCACTTCCCTTTGGCCAATACCTTCCTTGCTTCTGTTAATTCCTCCAGGGATAGAGGTATGTCCAACAGTAATCTCTCTGACTGTGCTAGCGATGGAGTAGTTGTTTTCCAAATCTCCCTACCCTCTCTTAAATCTGACGGGGACTCCCCGACAGACCTCCGAGAGGTTAGGATGTCACTGAAGTACGTTTGTGCATAGCGACAAATGGTTGCAGTTTCTGTGGCCACATCTGCTTGTGCCAAAAAAGGGTGTTCCAGTTCTCTTAGTGTTGTGTGGAATTTTGGCGGTAGGAGACGTCGAAAAGTTTCTTTTGTCATTTTGTCCGCATGTAGCATACCTCTCTCTCTAGCCCTCCTAGCCCAGCATTCCTGCTTGCGTACCTGAATCTCCTACCATTTTCGCATCCAACTATCCCTCTCATAATGGGGTGTTCCCCAAAGTGACTCTCAACTTCCTGTATCCCCGACTTACATTCGTCTTCTTCCTTGTGACACCCGTAAGTCAGGATTCTAGAAAAAGCATCCATGGCTTTCGAAGTAATCCGCAGGCCCGCATCGAACTATTCATTCTCAAAGGGGAACATATCACTCGCTCTTTCCCAGTCCCTCCAGTGCTGTAAACACCAATCTTTAACTGATTGTACCTGAAGGTTATCTGTGTTCAAGCGGAAGATTCCCCTACCCCTATGAAGTGAGCTGGACAGTTGGAATTGTGCCACCACCGGTCTGTGATCAGACAGAATCTGTGAATGAAGTTCAATCTCTATCAATGTTTCCCACGCTTCGGCCCTGACTAGGAAGTAATCAAGACGTCTCCGGGGGGAGAGTCCATCTAGAAAGCGCTGGCTGGAGAACCAGGTATAACCAAGTTCCAAGGGATTGAATACACGATAGGGTTCCACTAAGTCCTGTTGCTCAATAATGGACAATAGTTCTATTGTGTCCGCTCGAATATTTTTGGGTTCCGGTGAATCCAATCCTGGATTTAACAGGGTATTCCAGTCCCCACCCACTATCAAATTTTATACTTCTGGAAGTATATGTGGCAATTCCGAAAAGAAGGAGAGACGTTCACCATAGATTGCAGGAGCATATACAAACATAACTGCCCATAATTTATCTTCGTAGCTAAAGGACACCCAAGCCCATCTACCCCAAGGTCTTCTAGGTGGTTTAAGATCGTGAGATTCATCTTCTTATGGATAAGGATAGCTACCCCCCCCCTTGAATCCTGCGCAGGCGCCCAAAATTGAGGCCCTGACCACCATCTTCGAATTTCCTTTATCTTATCTTCATTTAGTTTAGTTTCCTGGAGGAGTGCGATATTTATCCCATCTTCGTGTACCCATGTTATAAATCTCAACTTCTTATGTCGACCATTAGAGTCTCCTAAACCACGAACGTTCCACGTAGCTACTTTAAGTTTGCTCATGTGAAATATCCCTGCGACCAGGTGATTGATTGGATGTGGTCCGCTTTTCCGTTTTATCGTTCTTTCTTCTTCTCGGTGTAGTGCTCACAATCCCGGTGTGGGGTTCCAGCCATGCGGTTTTCAACACATTTTTTAGCCCTGGCGACATCAATTGTCTGTCACTTGGCAGGGAGGCACAAAATTCTGCTATCAACCGGCCATCGATTCCTGGCTGGAGAATCACTCTTGTCAGTTTTGGGGTCTCTGTGGAGGCGAACCAATCAGCCAGAATCCATTTCCCGCCTGCTTTTTCCCAGTCCCCCTCTGCCTCCCCTGATTGCTTTAAATCCACGATCGCAATAAACAAGACCGTTGATTGGGTATCCGATATTTTTCGATATTTCCTCCCCAACCGGATCCCGGGAATCAAGCGGTAGCGCATTGTTGTTCCAAAAAAAGACTCAAGCAAAGGGAGCAAGATTGAACGAGTGGTGGGAGCCACAGACACAGATATCATTGGTAGAGTAAGAGTGTCGTCCTGCGAAAGTAGGGCCATAAGCTTCAAGCCCTGAGGAGATGTCATGATCCCCAATATCACCAGATAACTGGTGGTGGTAACCGCTTGGTTAGGTTTCGACCTGCCCTGGGGGCCCACTTCCTTCGTCAGAGCACCTACCCTCCCTACTTGTCCTGGTTCTTTTCCTAGGGATAGTGACGATGCCATACTCCTTATTTTGATATCATCCTCTTCCTCCTCCCTCGTAATTTCCCCCTCTCCTTCTGTTCCTAGCCTCCTAGATTTGCAAGGAGCAGCATTTGTTGCCCTACCCAGTCTCGAAACATTGGTGGAGTTTAATTCCTGTTTTGTGCCTTGTTCTGACACCTGACCCTGAGAGCCCCTTTGGTTGTTCCCCATTCCCATTCCTCTCTTGGCATCAATTAATATTCCACTAGAACTTTCCTTGTTCACCTGGAGAGTGGAAGCTAAACCTAAGCCCCCATTCGAAGAAGAAGGCGTTCTTGACAGCGAGGAGTTGTGAACATCCCAGTCAGAGGTGGTCGATTGAAAAAAACTGCTTGAGATCGGTGTTGTTGTAGAGCTACAATCGGAATATGAACGATAATCAAAACCTGGATTCAGGTGCGAGGTGACATAATTAGCATGACCTACCAGAGATGCAACACCGTACCCTACATCTGGCTTGTACCGCCCAAGAAACTGAAGAGACGTTGTGTTTCCGTAATCGGCTAACCCATAAGGAAGGTTGACTCCTATGGACGGGAGCGACACGGAGGTCTGGTAATTACCTGTCACTGCTGAAGCAAAATCCATCGTGCCCAATCCATGAGGGAACAGGCTTCCTAGAGGAATTCCCCCTGACGATCCTGCTAACTGCGACTGTGGCTGCAAGTTCGAGAACAACCATGTATCATTCTTAACGCCACTCCCCAAGGCGCTCTCGTTGAAAGTACTCACTGTGGCGGTACCTTGGTAATATGGTTGACCGCCGCCCGCCATTTGCCTTGAGGACGAAGACACTTGTCCACTGTGCACTGTCTTGGGCTGGCACTGCTGATGGTGAGACTGAAATTGCCCATGTTGCCAAATTCGCTGCGAGCCCTGTTGCTGGGGTTGCGGTACTTGAGCGCCTCCACTTGACTGTTGATTTTTACCTTCTGGCCACTGTTCCTCTTCCGGATGTAGTACTCTTTCTTGTTGTTGGCCTTCGCTTGAGCGTTGTTGACCTCCTTGTTGTTGATTTCCCCCTTGGCGTTGTCCTCCCCCTTGGTTTTGTCCTCCTCCTTGAAAGGAACCTTGGTGTTGACCTCCCCCTTGATGTTGTACTCCTCCATGATTTCGTCCTCCTCCTGGTTGTGGATGGCTGTACGCACCTCCTGACTGGTTTTGCTTATCTCCTTGCGGTGAGGTAGCAAGTGTCCATTTGGTGGCGGGGGGGGGGGGGGGGGGGGGGGGGGGGGGGGGGGGGGTTAGATCCCGAAGGACCCTTACCCCTTCTGCTTCCATTGTTCCCTCTGCCCCGACCACCCCGTCCGCCCCTCCCTCCTCTCCCTTGCCCCCTTCTCCTATCCGCCGGCATTTCTTTGTTATACCGCGGGCACTCCGGGTCATCGACGGTATGAAACCACCAAAGACATTTGTTGCAAAAAGGAGAGTCCTGTGTGGCAATTCTGATTTCCAGGTCTTCCCCATCTTTGCTTCGTACGTACAACCAGTCCCTGTAGGAGTTCCGGACACTTGGATCACAATCAATCTTCACATTGCCTAAGGAGGGTTCTCCATCCTTCTTATCCGGGGGCTGCATTTTCACCACCGGACTGAAGTTCTGCTCCACCGCCTTCTGCAACGAAAACATTGCCACTAGAGGCACCCGGAGAGCTATCAGCCCGAAGCGCGAGGCTTGCTCCTGATTTCGCATCCGATCCAGCTCCGCTTGTGTCATCCAAGGTTTGAAGAGTACCTTAAAACTGCCTCCTCTGCACAGGATCTCCGCTGTTCCAAGAGACGTCATCCACTGGGCAATTTTTGTTGATCTTGCCACATAGGACATAACGTTTGGTCCCTCGCTGTGGGTCCTCCCCCGTTTCCCAGACGGATTCATAACCACGTCTCGGTACCAGCCATCTTCATAAATGTGAAGTAACTGTTCTCTGTGGGATAACGTAAGAGTCTGGTCCTTGACTTGGAAAATGACGATAACAGTTCTCTCCTTAAGCCAAGTTATGATCAAATCATCAATGTCATCATCAAGGATGAAGAGACCGTAGTCATCATGCAACTCCGCCTTTCCGATCTCCCGTCCTATGTTCTCTGGAAAGATACCGTCATCGTAACATTTTTCCATAAGGACTCGTATTCTCTCAGCTTCGTCATCCTGCATGCGTTGACCATGTGATAGGGAGATGCAGCCGCCATGACTCCCTCAATTTCTTCTATACTTCGTTCTCCTGAAACACCGTACCCTAGACGCACGCGCCCTAGAGCGCCACGTCTCGTCACTTAGTTACACACTCGGTTTTACTGCGAAAAACGCCTCAGGCCACCGTCCTCCCCACTCCTCCCTCCCTAGTTAGGGGGTTGGCTGCCGGCATAGCCGGAAAACAGCGAGGGTTGGAAGAGTTCTCGTTCCCCCGCAACGTGCGGGCCTAACGAGTTGATGGTACCGATTCTGCCGAATCGGTAGCGCTAGGCCGGAGTGCACTCGCACCCGCGCCTGACGCCCGCCCCCCGTCAGATACATTTACTCAACCTAGCACAGTCGGTACACCCAACTGTGAAGCCAAAAAAAAAAAGAAAGGAAAAACGAAAACTGCTGAAATACAGACCTGAGTTCTCAAAAAAAAAAAAAAAAAAAGAATTACCTGGGGGCCCTCAGTCCTGCTATCATATCCTTTCTTGTTGTTGTTTTTTCACCGAAGACTACACGTCAACAATATCTCAAGGCCGTCAGCCTTTTGATACCGTCGCCTTTGAATCTGGTCGGTCTTTTGTATATGATACCGAAGGTGGGCAAACCTTAGCCTTTTTTTCTGTTGGTGTTGATCGTCTGAATGGGACAAGTTTGTTTGTTATTTTTTCTTTCTTTTCTTTTTTGTTATTTTTGCTCTTTTCTTTCCCTTTTTTTTTTCCCAACAAGAGACAGCCCCTTTATATTCCGGGGGGCTCCTGTCTGGTTGCTTATTCCCGGCAAGCATAAGGAAAGCAGAGATAATACATGAAACATCAGTGAGCCCAAGGGCTGCCTGAAATAAGCAGCAGGGGAAAATTACTAACTAAAGTACCCAGTCCTATCCAAAACAACACCAGGGGTCAAGTCCCACTTACCCGAATTCGCAAATTTCTGCACGTAGATTCCACAGATCAACGGCCAGAAATGAAGAATCAACATAAGTGGGACTTGGCCCCAGGGGCGGCACAGACTCCATGACTACCCTATTGCCTATCCTTATCAGTGGTCCAAGAAGAGAAAGGTATATTGGGTGAAAAATGTGAAAAAAAATAAGTGGAGAGAGAAAAGCTAAAGTGAGCTGAAGGGGAAAAGGTAAGCATAAGGGGCCCCCGGGCAAACGCCCCATAAATTCAGAAATGCACACTCCAATATACAAAACATTCAAGAACTACCGTGTTCATATCCCCCGTATTTGGGCAGACTTTCAGTCCAGATCCAGCAATAATGGCCGGGTGTTCTATTCGGGTGAAGACGGTAGGACACCCTAAGAAACTAAAAGAATGCACTCCTCCAAAGTTCTAACTTCTAAGTGAATTCAATATTTATGCTAGCAAATTTCTTATAATCCTAGTTAATTGTAGACTGCTGCTCTAAGATTAAGTTTCCTAAATTTAGTTATGAGCTCATGGGGGTAGTAAGTACTACAGAGCGGGCGATCCCTCCTGAGGGCTAGATAGGTCCTCAGGGGGGGAGGGGGCCTGCCCAAAATTAGCCAGGGCAGGCCCGAAAATGTGCTTATTAGCACCTCTGTCAAATGTAACGAAAATTGGAAAACGTGCCCAAGCTCTAAGCAGGAACCACGCACATTTAATGGGGGAAACCACGTGTCGGTGCAAGAAACCCACATGTCCTTTTTTTTTTTTTTTTTTTTTTTTTTTTTTTTTTTTTTAAATGAAGATTGAGGCCGGGGTCCTCACAGTCTACCCGGAGTAACCGAACCGAACATGCTGAGAACCGGGCTCAGCGTCCCTCATGTGATGATGATGGTGATGCTAGTAATGATGGATTTCTAGTGATTCTTAGAAGAGTGTAAGATAGTAATTCACATGTCATTGAATGCTCTGGCTACAATTATACATGACCAGACGGATGAGGAATTGCAGCGAAGATGTCTTGTTTTCTCTGATGCAAGCATTCCAAAGTGCCCGGATTCCTGAAAAGATAGCGGCGCGAACCATCTCAGATGCATACAAAGGGGCTGGGCTTTCATCCAGAATATTGGCCCCCAACCTTTACAGAAGCATGCAAGTCATTGGATAGGACAAGCGAGGAAGGGCCCTGACATAACTGTGGTCAGAGCCACCAAAAACCCCTTTGCAAGGGACATTCTATCCAGAGATTATTTAAGTCCTCGCAATCCACTCCACACACCAAACAGTATGGGTTGGTGTACTGGCTTTTGGTGGTATTTTCATCGATAGCTTGACTGTGATGTTATAGGGCATTGCTCCACTGCTCACCAAAAATGGAATTTATCGTGGTGAGTGGTCCCCACCACAAATTCTCACCGAAGTAGTGTCATCGCTCCACCATCTCACCAAACACACACTCTCACCGCACGGCCACACTCCTTCAGTTGGTCGGGACGGCTGCAGGCAGGGGCAGACTCAACACGTCTTGGCGGACCCCAGAGAGGAGGCAACATAACTTCGCCTAATATGCAGGCAGGGAAACAGGTGGCCGTAATGAGCACTCACCACGACCCACTCGCCAGAGAGAAAACCAGCCGTCCGACACGACCGCCATCATGATGGCGAGTTGGTGGATCCAAAGCCTCACTCACCGAACTTCGTGTTGGGTGAGTGGTGGGGCAAGGCCCATAGGTAGGCAACCCCTAGCTTACATCTTTCTTTTCATTTTTGTCTTTTTTATTTTTTTACTCCTGGCTTGTTTCTGCTAACTGTTTGAAAAGGGAAAACTACACATGATCTTGATTGCTGTAACTTAAACCACCAGTACTTGGGCACTGCGCGCCGCGCCGGCCGCACCTTTTTTGAAGCGGCGCGGGCTGTCGATACGATTTATCGACGGCCCGCCGGTAGCGAAATTCTCGTAGTGTTAACGCTAAGGCGTCCCCCAAGTACTGGTGGTTTAAACCTGATTGGCCGTCGCGTGATCTTAATCTTCATCGGTTGTCACATGAAACTGATTAACCAAATAAATTTATTAATAAATTAATTAAAAAAAAGGAGAAACTACTCGAAACCAAGTCTGAACCCCAGCTAGCGGGGCCTAGCCCCCAAAAGGACCATCCATTTCCAACAGGAATTGTTTTTCCCTTTTTTCACAACAAGATTGAAACATACCATTAACCACATGGTATAGATACTTCACTCAGGGCATACTCACACCGGGACTTTTCGAAATGTAACGACTGCAATTATGGCCAGACCTTGATGAATCTGGCTGCAATCACGTCCAGAGCTTGGTAGAAAAAGTCCTACAGTCTTCCCCCGAACAAAATGCATGTTCATTATTTACGAATAGAACACACAGGGTGCGTTGTATTCGTACAGCGCGCGTGCGTTACGCTACGGATATAGGGCACCAAGGTTGGAAAATGCCCCCCCCAAAAAAACTTGAATACATGTCCTTACCTGTGTCCTTTTTTTCTTTTTTCTTTTTTTTGAAAGTCCAGGGTGTTATAAGGTCGGTTCCTGCACCCACGACAAGTACCTATCTACAGTCAGCAACTAATTTATGGGACACAGACCATCCTATCTCGGAGGATCCCCCTCAGACAGCCCCTACTGCAGGTTCCCCAAGGATTTCCTCCACCAGAGTCTGTCTACTAACACCCCTCCTACCGGGATCCCTTAAGACAATCCCCTACTGTAGGTTCCCCGCCGATATCCTCCGGCAGAGCTTGTCCCAATCCAACCCTCCCCTCAAACGGGACCCCATCCCACCTCAGGTTCTTGCCCCCCCCAAAGCAGAGCCTAAGGTAACCAACACACATGAGCAGTCTAACCACAAACCCGTACCTGCATCCTCATTAGACTGGTAACTGTATCAGGCAAACCCCTCACAGGCCAGGACCCAATATACAACACCATGGACAGTCCCCTGGGTGGTGTGCAGGCAGTGTCTGTAATAGCTTACCATGCGTCAGCCCAAGGGGTGTGTGTCCAGCCGTGCGTCATTCTAACGCCCTGCTGGTGTCCATGCACAAGGCTGCGGAGTTTTGAACCCGCAAACCTCATACCACAATGCGCATTTCCAACCGGTGCTCTAACCACTGAGCTACATCAACTGGACTCCTTACCTGTGTCCTTCGGACATCCGTTCAAACTGCAACGATACAGAGAAGATTAGCATGGTCCCTTCTCAAGGATGACACGCACAAACCGAGACACGGTAAAAAAAAAAACAAAAAAAACAAAAACAAACAAACAAACAAACAAACAAACAAACAAACACAAGGGCCCGATACCGGCCGCTCATAGCATTCAAACTGTCGGCCCTTCTACCGGCTGTAGGTAGCATTCGAAATGTCGGCCCTGCTACCAGCTGTAGGTAGCATTTGAACTGTGCAGCGTGCCACGCGCCTCCGTCCAAAGTCGCCATTGCAGCAACGACGCCAACATCCACCACGCGCCGCGAAGATCCGCCTTCGCCATCAGGCGCACCAAGATCCGCCACATCCGCTATTTCCTCCTCCTCCTCCTCCTCCTCCTCCTCCTCTTTCTCCTCCTCCTTCTCCTCCTCCTTCTCTTTCTCCTTCTCCTCCTTTTTCTCCTCCTACTACTCGTACCACTACGACTACTACTACTATGACGACAACGACGACTACGACGACGACGACGACTACGACTACTACTACTACAGCTAATCTACTTCCCATGTGTTCTATCCGAATAGAACACCCTTCCGCTCGAATAGAACACACATGCGTACTATTCGAATAGAACATACACGCCTAGTATTCAAAATGCATGTGTGCGTACTATTTGCATTTCAGGGGGCAACTCTGAGAAATTAACATTTCCAGGGAAAGTTGAATAGTATGTGTGTGTGTTTTGTTCAGGGAAGACTGTAGTGTGAGTATGCCCTCAGAAAGGAATATACCACTTCGGTTTCAAAACCCAAAAAGTACCAGAATTGAACTGACACCTAGCACAATTTGGGGTCTTGCCCGTTGAGCGTCCTGCTGGCTGTGCTTACAACATACACAGTTGAGGGGAGAGCGTGGCTGAGGGACTGGGTACCATTGGGAGTCTCCCTC